GGACCTTCTGAACACTAGACTGATGTCTTACCCCTAAGCCACCACCACCACTGAAATTTATTTTCTTTTATCTTCCTCTTAAGCTGCACCTTCGGTTATAATTCCAGAAAAATCAATTAACTTGACTTTCTACATCACAAAACTATACTGGGTCTCGAACCTTCAAACTCTTGTTCACTACGCCGGTGTTTTACCACTAAGCCACCGATGCCACGGAAATTTTAGAGCTTTAATCTTCCTCTTATGTTACATTTCGCTATATAATTCTATAAAAATCTCATTACAAAAATACTGCTGTATTCGAACCACAAACCTTACATTTACAACGCCAGTGCCTTACCTCTAGACCACCAGAACATATATGTCGTAGCTGTTTGCCATCGTCCTTATATTATACGACTTGATTTATAGCCGCAGAAAGATTCCTCTTCTTGCTTCGTTTTAAAGTTATTTTACCATTGACGGTTGGCTAGTCACTTTCTCTTCATTTAGAGCCCATTCATACGCTCATGACCAGATCTTAGTCTTGCAGTAAGCTTCGCTGTTTGACCTCTAATACGAATCCTTCCTGAAGACAAGACGGGTCTATCCTTCTCACTTGCCAGATAGATGGCACTGCCCAGAGACTCAAGCTTTAAGATTTTGTTTAAGCATTCCACTTAAAAGATGTTACTCACAGCACATAGGAAACATCTAACCATAAGCCATACAACCTCAAGCTGACATCTCCCATCTTCGGGATGAATTAACAAGGAGGAATTTAGCATTTTACATCAAATGTTTTAAATATTTTAACATTAGCGTTTTAACTTAAAAACAGTTTCGGATGGAAAGTGAGAATTGATAGTGTACTCAACTATTCTAGCAGGTGTTTTGCTTTTACACGTCAACATATTGTAGCAGCGTCCACACAACAAACATAACTGTGAACATCATAAACAACGACAGTGTTTTCATAATTGTAGTAAGTGCCTCTGTTGATGGTTGTGTCAAACCGAAACATGTAAGGCGGAAGTGATAAAAAGGTGACCTACAAATTGTTACACTCGACGGACTTTCTGTTAACTTTGTCAAGAATTTTCTTTTCCAAATCGAGAACGGCTCTGGGATTCGCCCAACCTCCTATCCAATGGGAACCTTTCCCCGGGATAAGGGGGCAGGGGCGTGAAGCGGACCACTCACCTCCATCTAATGCAAAGTCCAAGAAAATGTGGATCTATACATCCACTCCTCCATACTCCTTCATGGCGTAGTGTTGAGCATAGGGACTTTTTTTAACTCAGAAGATATTACTTAGACACTCCACTGCTAAGGGTCTGTTAAGGCATTTCTTACAGATGAGATTAAACAGACGTGCTCCAAATTTAGGAGTTTATTGAGGCACTCCAGTTAGTAGGCATTACTCAGGCACACTGCCGGATTAGGGGTTTATTTACAGTTGATTTAGATGTTCACTTAGACAGTATGAAGGGTAAGCTGTTCAGCCTGTTTTTATGAGGTATAGTATAATTCATATAATATGCTGATACATAAAAACTGTCTTTTTTGTTGTTACTGCCCAACAGGTGAGTCAGCTCTGTTGCAGAATGCCTAAGTACGGCAATCATGTACTTTACCCACGAATGCCGACTACATTTCCGTGTATGTAATGTGCTGTACAATAAAGAAAATTATTAAAATCCTTTCAGTATTTAATTCAATAGCGATAACTTAAATGTAACTCATATGATCGAAGATAACATGGGGAACTCGGGGACCAGAGCTTGGGGTATTAAGGGGGCTTTCGGAATCGAAATCTGGGGTTTGAAGGGGAAATTCGGAATCGAACTTGCTTTTTAATGGGTATTTTGGGGTATGAAGGGGAAATTTGGAATCGAAACTTGTTTTTTTGGGGAAGTTTGGGGTATGGAGGGGAAATTCGGAATCGAAACTTGCTTTAGGGTGAAGTTTGAGGTATGAAGGGGAAATTCGGAATCGAAACTTGTTTGTTCTTAGCGGGAAGTTTGAGGTATGAAGGGGAAATTCGGAATCGAAACTTGTTTTAGGGTGAAGTTTGGGGTATGAAGGGGAAATTCGGAATCGAAACTGGTTTTAGGGGAGGTTTGGGGTATGAAGGGGAAACTCGGAATCGAAGCTTATTTTAAGGGAATGTTTGGGGTATGAAGGGGAAATTCGGAACCGAAAATTGTTTTCTGGGGTATGAAGGGGAAATTCGGAATCGAAACTTGTTTGTTCTTAGGGGGAAGTTTGGGGTATGAAGGGGAAATTCGGAACCGAAACTTGTTTTCTGGGGTATGAAGGGGAAATTCGGAATCGAAACTTGTTTGTTCTTACGGGGATGTTTGAGGTATGAAGGGGAAATTCGGAATCGAAACTTCTCTCAAGGGAAAATTTGGGGTATGAAGGGGAAATTCGGAATCGAGATTTCTTTCTAAGGGGAAATTCGAAATCAAGTTTGAAGGGGAAGTTCGAATTAGAATTTGGGGCACGAAGGGGAAAGTCGGTATCGAAACTTCGGATTATGTGGTACATGTTTGGAATCAGATCTTTAATATGGTTAAGGTAATAATGGGTATAGAGACATATATGAAAATTCTAAATTATTTATTTTATTTCTTTACATTTATATTCTTGAAAGAAAATTATTTCCTCATATCACAATGCTTATTACTGCAATAATCCGCCATCAATGATCATTCTGTACTTACAACAGTAGTATGTTGACCAATAATGAGCATGGTAACATTTCAGTGTTTTTGAACCCAGAATCCTTTAGAACAAAGAAAATAAATGTGGCAGACATCTGCAGACATAGAATGATAAGTGAAAATGTACAAATGAAATATGTTATATTTATACGGCAGCTTCAGAACTCCAAATACAATGAAGCTATGGGCCATCTTCTTTTTAATATGCTGCTGAGACTAATGGTCTTGACAGACCTCAGAGATACATAAAAGCCGCCAAAGATGTTGAAAATGAAGAATGTACAGTAAAAATCAGTTTGTCCTTACAAGCGTGCACAATACATTCTTCACTGCAGCTTACTGGGCAATCCACCACTTAGTCCATACTTTAATGTAAATTCAATGACATTTTGGGCCTACACAGGATCACCAGATATACAGGATGTCCCAGGAGGAATGTGCCAGACTTTGGGAGGGTGTTCCTTATGTTAAAGTATGCCGATATAACCCAAAACACCTATGTCCAAAGTTGAACGGTTACAGAGATAATGACCAGAGAAGTGTAAAACTTTGACAGGTGTTACACACTTGCTGATTACCAAATACATATTAAAACTGCGAAGAATATGTCGTTTCTGTAATGTTAATAATGTACGTAACATCAAACTAATTTGTGAGTGACATGAAGCCATTAAATTGAACTACAAAAAAACTCGTACGCCATGTCATAGTTGTCGTTGGGGTTCCGAGCACTATACACAACACATGAATTACAAGCACTGACATAACATGGCTGCCTGCGCACTCTGGTATGCGAGTGTGTGCAGCTAGTGTGAGCCATTATCACCACTCAAGGACAAACATCGATAAGACTTGTCAGCTGACAGGTACAGTGTGTGGACCCGCCAGAAGACCACACTTTTCTCGGGCCATTATCTCCATAACCGTTCAACTTTGGTCATAGGTGTTTTGGGTTATATCGGCATACTTTAACATAAGGAACACCATCCTGAAGTTTGGCACATTCCTCCTGGGACATCCTGTATATATGAGCTGCATAAACTGTTATACCATATTGTGGCATTAAACAGCCAATGAGTATTCTATGTCATTGCAATGAAGACTGTATTGTGTGTATATACAGAATGGCCCAAAAGTCTGTTAACTGGTTAATAAATTGTACACTAAAATATGTTAGAAATTTCTTTGTTACTTAATGTACAAAAATTGTTCAAAATGAGATTCCCCATGTGCAATTAACTCACAATACTGTGATAATGTTCTACAAACTGACTGGCACCCTCATATCTAAACATTCCTGTTAATATGAGAGAGTGCTTTGGGTTAACAGACTTTGGGCCATTCTATTAAATGCAGCAATATGCTCAAAACACAGTATTACGTCCTTATGCCTTCTGTATCAATCCAGCATTATCATCATTCATCATCTCTCATCAGAAACTGACTTGAACTTGAAGTAAACAGCAAATTAACAATTTTTCAACAATTTCCCTCCTAAAATGGATGTTTGTATTTATACTTATCAACTAGCATTAACAATTTCCATGAAACAGCATGACAGATGGCTGAATACTGTGAAAACTTATTCAGAGCCAATCTGTTAATTTCCACATATGGATCCAGGTGTCCTATGCCCTTAAGTCTTAACTTCAGGAGGTGATTCCTGAAATCAGTCGGAGCAAAAAATATTATATCAGCACGGGTGTGTTTATGCATGCCAGTATGCATTAGCATATTTCATTCACTGATGAGTCACATGAGTACTACAAAGTTAATATTTCAGCATCCTCTTGCACTGGGGCACCATCTTAAATTGTAAAGTATTCTGTCTGTAATGCAACAGACACTAAAAGACACTAAAGTATATTTAATTTGCTAAAAAGTGTTAACTATTTTAAAATGTCATTAACTATGTACATTCGTTGTTCTTGCTATGTTTCGACCAGACATGGGCCATCATCAGGCAACACATTATTTGGGGAGACCACTGCATTGTACCTTAGGCACATCATTAAGTAACTGATTTGTCTGCAAGCATCAGGATGCATTGCATTACTGCAGTAAATTTGATTTGGTTCATCCCGGTCCATCACATTAGCAATTATTAAAAACGTTAATTAACTCCCTAGCTTCCAAATTGGTTTTCTGCAGATGTGTGGTTGCTGTCACTGTCTCATCAGTTGCTTGAACTGTACACCTTGCCACAAGATATGAGAGGTGACATTTAAAACAGGTTTTTGCAAAGTAAACTGCTGGTCCTCTTAGAAGACATAGTGTGAATGTAACTGCAGATTGTTTTTTGGTAGAAATGTCACACATTATCTAAATGAACAGTTACCTTGCCAAAGGATTGGTTGCAGTGGTATGCTGATTTTAACACTGTGTTTACTGGATCTCAGGCCCTTAAATTATCATGTACATGAACGCAAAGTGGACACTACTTCAGTGAATTTTTTATGCCACAAAACATTAGCAACAGTTAGTTTCTCGTGAGGGTACATGTTACTAGCGAAACAAACCTGCATGTGCAGTCATGCAGATGGTAGATATTTTGAACAATTACTTTGACCAATGAAAACCATATAGCAATCATTTTCTCTCTTTCCCAATAACAATCCTTTCTCCAATAAAAAAAACTCCTTACATTTCAGATACCCATAATTTTAACACTATTGAGAACAGGACTTATGTTGACCCAATACTTTTTTACTCAGAATGACCTCTGGAATCACTTCCTTAGGTTCATGTCATTCGACACCTGCACATTACTGGCTAACTCCATAATCCTTACCTGCACATAAAAATTGCAACCATCCATCCACACTCAAAATATTCCAGAAGATGAGCCCCAGACCACATGAGCATCCAGCTGACTTTACCACATGCTGCTGCAGAGAGAATTCAAGGAATGTGGGTTCACATTTTGGTAGTGCAACCTTGATACACAGTAAAGATTACCTTTTCATGGAAGTCAGTATTATTGGATCTGCTGTCTCTTTTTCAAATAACTGAGTAATTCTTTAGTCCACTCAAGAACACATGGACTGACATTTCTGCTGTTTCTTTATTGCCCCCTGCAGCATCCGATTATATGACAGTGGGTCAATACGTCATAACAGGGACTGTACCACCATCTATAAAAACCAGGGATTCATGTTATCAGTTTTCCACACACTTTAATATGGTGCCAAACTTAGGGGTGAAAAATATTTGTTTCACTATCTTGAAACATCTCTTTTCACAATCTCCTTATGGTAACTTCACTTTACCATATCTCACCCAATACATAAACATCCTCCAGAACACTTAATATGTTTTAAGTCATGCAGGCCACTGTATCCACTGCAGACCCTTAACCTTACACCATGGCAAGCACCACGATCTGTTATGTAAAGCTACAACATACTTTTGTGCCACCACTTGTCCACTAGCAGCATATAAACATATGAATGTCAACTACATTTCATAACAGTATAAAAAAGAATATTGCTTGGCTTGAAGTGTGCCCACAACAATGATATTATTATAATAAAAACACTGCTCTGCACAGGCTATCCAACTTAGTGCAATTACTTTCAAAATTCATGGTGCAAGGGCACATTCAGAAATAAACTGAGCTGGATTTGAGCTTCGCACAGCGTGACTATTCAACCTTCTGGATGGAGGTAACGTACCTCTGAAACACTGGTGAATTTCTACTGGACTACACAGTAGTGCAGCCCAGAAAATAATACTTTCTTATAAAATAGTTTTCATTACTTCAACATCAGAATAACATGTTAATACTATGACTATCTTAGCCCAGATACGAACATCCTGACTGCACCACCTAGCATCATAGATGTCAGTAGTTATCACTTATATTCAATGTAACGTGTGTTTAAAAGAAGAGCACATAATATTATGTACGTACCACTTGTCACATACATCTTGTTTAAGCGTGTATCCATTTCATTTTAAGTAACTGTTACTACACTATCGCTGTTCAGTTCTTTTATTTTCAAAGGTCTGACACACATGTTCTGATACCACACACCTGAGAATATTTGTAATTTATACAAAAGTTTGACTGTCAGGCAAATAAAATTCTTCCTGATTGCTTGGATATGACAAGAAAAACAAGGTCATGGAATTCACAGCACACAAGAGTAACCAAATGCCATGTCTGCTGCTGCCTAACCACAAAAAAAAAATGGAGTGGAATGTAAACTTCAGGAACTTAATATTCCACAGTGAAACCATACGACCATTCTGCAATATTACGGCTTTTAAATGTGTACACATATCGCATTTGTCGCTCAAAATTTAAATACCTGATGAAAATTGACCCTAGAGCATCATGTTAATGTTTTCTGACTAAAATCCTGTACGTATTTCTATTCCCTCCTACATATGTTACATGCCATATGCCAATGTCAAGATCCTCAACTGATTACAGGAATATTATATGGTGAAGCAAACAAATTATGGAACTCCTCATTACAGAATTTTCTCCACTCACTTCATCATCATCATCATCATCATCATCACTGGCACGACAGCCCTTTGTGAGCCCTGGCCTTCCTGAGGATTGTTTGCCATTCTTCTCTATTCGATGCTACATTCCTCCAGTTCTTTACACCCAAAATTCTTCTGTCCTGCCACACACATTCTTCCCATCTTAACCTTGGTCTTCCCACTCTCCTATTTTCTTCTGGTTTAGTATTAAGCATTTTCTTGACGGTTCTATTCTCGCTGGCACGTTTTGTGTGTCCAGCCCATTCAAGCCTTTTCACCTTTATAAATCCAATAATGTCTGGTTCAGTAAATAGTTTGTATAGCTCATGGATATACCTCTTCCTCCATATTCCATTTTCTTCCACTGGTCCAAAGATATATCTCAAGATCCTCCTTTCAAATATACTTAAGTCTTTCATCCGATCTTGACAGTGCTCCACTCACTTAGGTCCAGATATTCTTCCCAGCACTCTCTTCTCAAACGTTCTTACTTTACATTCTTTCCTCGAGATAAGAAACTTCTTACTTTACATTCTTTCCTCGAGATAAGAAACCAAGTTCAGACACATTCAAAGTTAATGGGTTAAATTAATTATATTTTTGTATTTTTTAATTTGTATGCTTTCAGACAGGAGAAGACAAAAGATTCTGAACTGACTGGTAACAAGCATTTCCTAAATTCTCCACAATTCATGTCCAAATTCCAGTGCTGAAACAGTTCCAAAAAATCAATCCAAGTCCAAGGTTCTGTGTCAACCAACATTTATAATGTGCAAGTTTCTTACAGCAAGGGATTGTTAGGTTAATCTAACTCCCACGCTGGACCAGCACTGCTTTTCAGCTGTTAGCAACTGCTTAATATAATTACAGCTATGCTCCATATCTTGAGCTCATCATCTACAACCTGAGGATATGCTGCACTCTGGCGATAAGGTCTAGAAACTTTAATTTATAAATTTTTGTTGATGTAATGCAAGGAACCAATATATATCCAATGTTATATGCATAACGCTGACAAACACTATGAGCAGCAGACTTCTATGTGCAATAAATTAATAAGATCAATGGGAGGAAACAAAGATTACAGTTTCTGATAATACATACGAGGGTTGGAACTTCAATAGTGGTTTACAACTGATAAAAAATAGATGCATATTTTGAAGTTTTACTGTCCTTCAATGTAGTCACCAGCATTGTGTACAACCCATTGCCGGTGATGTGGAAGTCATAGAATACCTTTAGCAGCGCCTGTTGTGTTGATAGTTTGAATGGAGCGGTCTACTGCCTGAAGAATCTCTGGAGCAGTTCTGAAGCGAATGCCACGAAGTGGTTCCTTCATCTTAGGAATCAAGTCAAAGTCACAAGGGCTTAAGTCCGGGGAGTATGGTGGATGGTACAGCACTTCCCAGCCCCATCACTCGAACAAATCAGCCACAGCTTGTGCTGTATGTGGCCTAGCACTGTTCTGCAAAATGATGGGTGGCTTCTGCAGAAAGTGTCGCCGCTTCTTTCTCAAAGCTGGTCGCAGGTTGTGTTCCAAAAATGAACAGTAATACTGTGCATTGACGGTCTGCTGTCAGGGAATGGTATGTGTTAGGATAACACCATCACAGTCGTACACAAGAATCACCAAAACTTCCACATTGCTGGTGTTCTGACAAAATTTGATTTTCGTGGTGATCCATAATGATGCCATTCGTTCATTTGGCATTTCATTTGTGGCTCGTACGATTTGGCCCATGTCTTGTCCAGCATAAGAAAGCCTCTCCTTCGCGCTCATAGTGCTCCAAGTGGTTATGAGCAGCGTCGTATCGTAGCCATATCTGCATTTCCATCAAATCATGTGGAACCCATCGTGATGCAATTTTTCTCATGCCCAGGCATTCCTTCAGAATGTGAAGCACATTCATATCCACTAATCCTGTCTCTCAAGCCAGCTCAAGAATCGTATGGTGTCAATCACTCTCCAGTAACACGGAAAGAGCATCCACTTCTTCTTCACTGACACTAGGACGACCTGGCCAACACATGTCTGCCACATTTTGGCGTCCCTCGTTGAAGGCTTTTACCCACCTTGCCACTGTTCTGTAAGGCAATGCAGATTTCCTGCAAGCCCCTTGAAGACCTCGATGACACTGTCGTGCTGTATGGCCTCTGGCACATTCAATCTTTATCCAACTCCTTTGATCCTGTTTCGAAAACATCGTGACACTACGTTAGACCGCCAGCTAACACGAGGCTCTGTTCTTCTCGTCACTGCGCATGCGCGTGATGTGGGATGGAAGAGTCCATTTGCTCTAAGGCAAGGTAGGTATGTAACTAATGTGTGGTATAAGTGACATTATTTGGTTCAATTGCATGGCGTCTCTACAGCAGTGTTGCCACTATTAAAGTTCCAACCCTCATACTTTTTTACATATGGTCAAAACACAGGTGGATTTTAAACTATAATTTGGTCAGGCAACACAATCTTCATTGTTGTACACAAAGATTTTCAAATTCTTTTGCCTTTCTACATCACCAATTTCATAACTGCTATCTAGATTCTCACATAATAAATGCAGGAGGAGAAAGTGATTTAAATGAAACACCCTATATCTCAAATGGTGTGGACAGTTCCCAAGCAGTGATCCAAAAGACAAACCACATGGCAGATCAGTCTTCAAAACCCTTACCTGCAGCTCAGTAGCCTGCTCTCTGCAACTCACTCAGCTGACTGCCTAGTTTCTCTTCTTTGGTTTTCCTAATCTGGCTCACCTGCACAATCAGCAGAAAGACAAACATGTAAAAAAGTTCACGCCATAGCTCAAGCAGTTAGTCCCTGGCTTCCCACCGCGACAGCCTGGGTTCGATCCCGGGTCTGGTCAAGTGGTATTTGTGGTGGACAAAGTGGTGCTGGGGCAGGTTTCCCCTGCCAATCTTCATTCCACCAATTGCTCCAGTCACCCTCACCTATCACCTTGGGCTGGTACAATAGGCCAGAAGTGGCCACAGTACAAGGGACTTAGTCCCACCCCATTAGCAATAAAAAAACATGTAAAAAGACATTAAAAATGCACATAACATGCAGCTGTATGACTGATACTGGCGGCTTCCAGACCACAGGACCAATAAATCACATATTCAGTTTCTGAGCACAATTTATAAGCTGCAATAAACAATGCTCTTAACCAATTTTCATCAACTCAGAAAGCTCGTGTCACCCCACCTTTAAACCTATCTCACATTACTTTCCAATCACACTGGTTAGCTGGAAAAGGGGACACATTCCCCTGAAATCACATTTGCATGTCAATTGATGGTTGCAAGTATATAACAAAGCCTGAAATATCAGTGAAGTGTCTGCAGAAAAATAAAAAATTCTCAATTATAAAAGAATGGCCTTGTGTCTTATAAAAATCAGTTCTGCCATATAAGTTCCTTTCAGAGTTTACAGATATAATGAACGCTTTTTGTGATTTTTTCTATTCCTAGAGGAATTGTGTCTGCCTGCTTACCGACTTACCAGTGAGTCCTTCGGTCTCACAAGACCCCATGTTTGTTCCTACAATTGCACAATGAAGCCAGAAGCTGGGTAAAGAAACATGGCTCAAAAAAAAAATTTTTTAAAGGTGATTCCAAGAAAGACACATTTCATGGATTACTTGAGAACAGAGTTTAAAGACCGCATTGTTTATTTCACTTATTCAAAACTGAACAATGGATGCTGACTTTCAGATTCTCTAGAACTGGGCTGGCTACGTGGGCATACACACAATAGTCTTTGCTTGGACCACCACTTAGTCTGTACTTTCAGGCAAATTCAACATGTTTCAGCCATACAGGACCATCACAAGGTATAATGCCTTAGGAGATTCATTTCTGAAATGGTGTAAAATCATGTCTTATGCCCCCCCCCCTTTCTGGCAGAGATGTGTATTATGTGGCTGGTATCTTGGTTGTGTGCGCTCCAGTCAGCAGTGGATGTGGATTACCGCATCTGTTGGAGGGACAAGAAGAATGGCACGACACACAATACTTCATATTACAAACAAAATGAACTCTGTGGCTTTAGTCTGCAAGCAAACTATGTCGACCAAGTGACTGCGGCTTGTCAGCAAAGTTATTTCCAACTTTTGGTACTTCATCTTACATCATAAAAAAAGGTTTAAATAATATTATATATTAAGTTTTGACAGATAATGAACTCATTTAAACGATAAACTCTTCGGATGTACGATCTGTAGCATATCCCACAGTATAGAATAACTATTTACACGAGCCATCACATACACCTGATGGTGGTCCAGTGTGGCCAAAACATGTAATTCAATTTAAATGAAAGCACAGACTAGGTGGTGAGGCTGCAATGAAGACTCTACTGTGGGTGTGAGTGATGAACTGTGTTGGTGGGCTGTAAGAAAAATCCTGCTCAACACAAACACATACACCTTTGTAAATACTGTAAAGCTAAACTATTAGCACTTCAAAAACTGAGAATTAATGAAACTCACTGTTCGTTTCTGGAGGTATATGCTCACAAACTGCTCTACGCTCATTCTGCCACCTAGGAACTGTTCTGCAATCCGTTCACTCTCTTCATCACTGTGCAGGGCTGCCAACCTGAGCGACTCCTACACAGAATAAACAAAATGAACATGCTTATGCTTCACTCACTGTCTTCTACCCTGAAGATGGCTTTCTTCATGCATATGATACTTCGCTATAACTTCTGCTTAAAGCAGTCACTTCTTGAAGTACCGTAACATTCAGAACAACCTCCAATCATGACCATCATCTCATTCCAGGCTGCATAAGTGATAAAGGATTTATTTAATAGGCTAAATATTTTGTATCATTTGCAGGTCTTAGTAGCAAAAAAAAAAAAACAAACACTGTGGCCTGTAGTCTGCAAGTGAACTATACCAACCAAGCGACCTCCGCTTGTCAGCGAAGTTAGTACCAACTTTATCAGATAGAGGGTGTCATGTGGTCAGCACAACAGATCCCCATGGCTGTTAATCTCGGTTTCTTAGTAGCAACCATCTCTTCCTCCTGCAAATAATGTTTCTGAATTTGTAAAAGTGTTTTTTTTTAATTCGCTTAGTGGGGGGTGGAGTCTAACTGGGTCCGCCTGGCATGGCAGCCACCAATTGGCCTATTGTAGCCTGCCTCGGGTGATTAGGATGATGGAGAATTTGGTGGAATGAACATTTGCTGGGGAAACCGAAGTGCTCGGAGAAAACCCACCCCAGCACCACTTTGTCCACCACAAATCCCACTTGACCAGACCTGGGATCGAACCCGGGCCACCTCGGTAGAGAGCCAGTGAATAACCACTTGAGCTGTAAAAGTGGTTGCTACTAAGCAGCCACAGGGATTCCTCGCGCTGACCACACATCATCCTCTATCCGCTAAAGTTGGCACTAACTTTCCGACAAGGGGCAGTCACTCAGTCGGTATAGTTCACTTGCAGACTAAAACCATGAAGTCTGTTTTTGTTTTTGGTTGCTACTGAGCAACCACTTTTACAAATTCAGAAACACTATTTGCAGGAGCAAGAGATTTTTTCTACACCAGTGTCCACACAGCATCCTATACAATGGGTACGAAGGGCTCTATCCCTAGGGGTAAAGCAGCCAGGGCATGAAGCTGACCAAACATCTCCTTCATGTGCTGAGGTCAAGAATGATGGAGCTACACCTCCACTTACTCTCTCATACATCTTCATAAAGTGATGCTTAATTAATTAAGCACAGACATAAGTTTACTCTTAACCTACTTTGTATGTATCATTTACTTGACAATACTGGTCATCACATAAGATGGTAAATAAAAGTAAACAATAATAATACATCCAAATATCAGTATCACTACTACAGCATCCAAAATTTTAAGTTATCCAGTAATCAGCTAAACAACATGAACAGTGAACCTTCATGACGAGGAGCACTATACATCTAGTAACCATGTAATTTGGAGGGTAATGATTTATCATTCTCTGTGACCCTGGGTAACGGGTTGATGTACAAAGCTCTATTTCATCAAACCACTCTCAACTTCTGCCAAAAGGCTACACAAAATGCATTCTCTATAACAAAGTTTCACTCCATCTTGACAGCCTGGTGGCTAGAAAGCCCTGTCCCTAGTTCTGAATCTAGAATACTTATATACCAAATATGAAGTCTGTCCAATCAGGTGCTAGTGAGGTGCATACACATACAGATGGCATCCTAAAAACCACCTTCTTGCTGGGGCCAGGTGGGACACAAGCAACTTCATCACAACACACTAATTTTTTCACCAACACAATACTTTTCATATCCTACATCCAGTACATAAGGGACTAAAAACGGGTGCCATATTCTACAGGGTGATTCACAAGGAGTTACTGCCACTTATGGAGCTCATTTCTGAAGACATTTTGAGCAAAAAGTGTCATATAAACCTGGGTCCTATACTCAATATTTACAGAGTTATGTTCGTGGAAAACCACTACTGTGAACTGGGCGTGGTCTTTGCCAACGTAAGCACATGATGTGTCCGCAGCCAGTTAGTAGGGTAGACGCAGTTAGTGCTCATGCAGTCTGACAGTTGCCTTTGGTTGTGAATGTTGTGTTACAATGCCGCAAACATTTTCCACAGAAGAATATGCCGATATGACGTTCATTTTGGGAGTGCGTGATGGTAATGCTACTTCTGCTCCAGCTGAGTATCACAGGCATTGCCCTAACCGCAGGATTCCGAATCCTAAAACAATTCAAAGGACATTCAACACATTACGGGAAACAGGTTCGCTTCCGAGTGTTAGAAGCCACAGCGAGCGTATTCCTGAATGTCACTTGGTTCAAGAGGAAAACATTCTCGACGCAGTACAGCACAGTCCACGTGCCAGTACGCATCGGCTTGCCAGATGATGCAGAGTTACGCAATCGATAGTGTGGACACTTAATGAGAACAGACTGCCCATTGCTTGGAGTTCTGCAACTGGTTAAGTGAAAATCGGCACTTGTACTGCTATATTCTGTTTAGCGACAAGGCACAGTTCACATGTTTGGGCAGAATTACATCCCCATCCTACAACTGAAACCAAATTTCAACACTGTTTCAGCATCAATTTATGGTGTTGTATTCTACACGATCAGCTGATCGGCCCGTTCATTTTTCCAGGACGCTTGACTGGTGTCATTTATCTGCAGTTTTACAAGAACTGCCGCAGTTACTTGAGGATGTTCCTTTGGCGGTGAGATACCATATGGTGTTCCAGCATGATGGTACACCTCACTTCAAGCATGCAGTGGTGGAACATTTAAATGTGCATTTCCCTGAGAGATGGGTAGGATGAGGCAGTATTCACCCATGGCCTCCTAGATCGCCAGACCTTTCCCCATTAGATTATTGCATTGGGGATGGATGAAGGACATTGTTTACCAAAGAAAGACACACACACATGAGGAACTACTTGCTCCCATCATGCATGCTGCTACAGAAGTCAGAGATAACAGTGTACACCTACGTAGAGCAACGTGCAGACAAGTGTATTGAAGCGGAGGGCGGGATTTTTGAAAATGTGTTGTAATCTCTGTAAGACTTCGCAAAATTAAACTAAAGAGAATCAATGTAAGTTTAAAGAGAATCAAGTCCATAGAATTACTTTGTGTTTGTAACAATAAATACATTAAAATAATGTAATTTTGTATTTAAAATTAAAATTTAGAAACCTTCAAATTACGAACGTAACTCTGTAAATATTGAGTATAGGACCCAGGTTGCAGCCCGGGTTCAATCCCGGGTCTGGTCGAGTGGGATTTGTGGTGGACAATGCGGCACTGGGGCGGGTTTTCTCCTAGTACTTTGGTTTCCCCTGCCAAACTTCATTCCACAAAATTCTCCATCATCATAACCACCCGGGGCATATTACATGAGGTCAATCAGTGGCCACCATGGCGAGTGAACCAGGTTGGACTCCATCCCCCACTAAGTGAAATTGGACCCAGGTTTATATGACACTTTTTGCTCAAAATGTCTTCAGAAGTGAGCTCCATAAGTGGCAGTAACTCCTCATGAATCACCCTCTATAATGAATATTTTCCAATGGTAAACTTGGTGATTCTATTCCCATTCCATCACTGACAAGTGAAATAATACTTAGCAGAAAATAAATCAATGTTTATGGAATTAAGGTTTACATAAAAAAACCAATTTTCTACGTCACTGTTACCAAAAATGCTTCTGAACATCACACAATAGACTAAAATTAGGGAGCGAGATTTGAAGTTGTCACGGCGAAGATCGAATATCACAAAAATCTACCAGACTACCTCGCAGGACAGTAATCTAGAAATCAGCAATCAACATGTAAATTCTGAAGCAGAGGGAGATAAACTTACAGCGAGTTCAAGTGATACAGCACTTAGGACAGACCTGTATTAAGGTTAGATAGTATAGCAGTAGTTTGTGCTGAGGGCATACATGTACATCTGAGTACAGGAGATGGGGCAGTTGGACAAAAAGCTTACCTTGATACTGCCTGGAGCATATCTGTCTGACAGCCGCTGGTACTCCTGGCTGAGACTCTCATACGAATTCTTCAGGACTGCAAGAGCATCCAGTTTCTCTCGTACACTGTAGCCCAGCTCCTCCAGCCGTGGCTGTTTTGACAGGTTTTCCTCTGGAATTCAAACAGGGATAGATAGTGTTGTGTTCATGCCTACAAATCTCACCGTAAAGGGATATTGGGGCAGTGGAGGTATCAACCTAAATATACTCTTAACCTTGGCTCTGCCCCTGGGCAAAGGGCCGTATGTATTGAGACTGCCACAATACAGCAATGAAATTGTAGTCACCCAAGTACTGACTGTAGAAACTAGCACAGACCTGCTCCTCAATATACATAAATCCTGAAAGATTAGGACAAAGCACTGATGCAAGATTCACACAGTTCCTGCCTGATACTGACTCCACCACCAAAAGCTTCAAAATGTTGTTCACAACTGAACACACAACACCAATTCAAATGGAGCGAGCTGAATAAACAGAGAGTTACATGAACCTAGCGTGTGTTCTACTGTTCTGAGTATACTCACTGGCCAGCTCCTCATTTCTGGTGATCATGTCCTCCACATTGTTGTTAAGCTTCTGCACTACAGGCAGCTTGTCAATGAAGTCGTCTAGTCTGTCCTGGCTCTGGCTCAGGTGTTCCAGCTCTGCAGTAGACAAGTCCTGGAGCTCTGGGAATGAGAGTGCCCGTGGCTGAGAAAATGCTGGCATTATGTGAGCAGGGGATGTGTGCCCACTGGTACATGCCTCTTGTCCTGAAACGCAATACAAACACACTAAAGCTACAAGCAAAGCACCTCCAGCTCTTAATACATGACATCACCACTTAACTAGAACATTCACTTCGCAGTTTACACAGGCTCTCTTCTTTTCCTTCACAAACTTCTCTTCTACAGTCACAAATTAACCAATTCCAGTTATAATGTAACTGTTTGGATGATATGGCTTGCCAGAGTGTGTGGAATGGCTAGGTGTGAATCTGATTGTGGTTTTTCCATCACCTATCTGTGTGTTGTCCTAATAACTTGAGCTATTCTGTCACAGGCTTGATTTTATATTTTATTGGACCAAGGACAAATGTGTAGTCATCATGAATTTGTAATATGTGACATGTTTTATATCCAGCCCTATGGGGAGATGATTGGATCCACGAAATGATAAATAAATGTAAATGTAAGTGAAGTGACTGTGCTTCACAAAACTCAATCTTCCTGCAGTCCAAACTTAATATTTGTGGATGTCTTAAATACAAGTTACATGCACATGTTTTTCAAAACATTTAGAGAAATGCATGGTTAAAGGCAAAATCTGAAGATCTTAAATACATACTATGATGAATATATTGGTGTAACAGGTCACTTGAAATGGCATTTCAGTAGCTTTAAAATGGGCATACATAAGTTTGGTGTCTCAATTCGGCTGTATGTTCTTCCACTTTGGCTATGAGTTATTCCACTTTTCTAAGACAACTTATGCCCAAAAATGAGTTCAACTGTGAATGTCTGCTCCCAAAATTCTAGTCGCCATAAAGCAGTAAAATTTGGCAGAAACATTGATCTGACACAGAATGACCCAAAAGTATCAGACTATCTGGTCTGAAGTATTAAAATTAACACAAATGCAAACTAAACAGTGAAACCAATATACAAAAAAAATGTAACAAACATAAACTTAAATAATATGTAGGTTTTAAAGTCCTTACCTTTCTGGTGGGTGGCAGGCAATCTTCCAGCTGACTCTCCAATAAGATCTGGTGGTCTACGTTCAAATTCTCGGATTATTGCCTGCACAACACGACCCAGATCGGAGTGAACAGTGAACTGCACACAAAAAACCTGGAGTTATGCCACCAGAGAGAACCCCTATCAGAATGCAACATTTCAGTGAATGAACCACTTACATTGACAAGTCCAGGTGCACTTATAATCTCAGATTGTTCATTAACCCATGGATGGTCAATCTGTGGTGAGACTTTGAGCACAGGCCTCTTTCGAGGGAATTCTGGGCACAGGGACACCTGGACAGCCATGCTATATCCTCCAGCACTGAACTCAACTCGATACTCGACATCCTCCTGAATCTCTGTCACACTGTACACAGTATCAGATTACTGAAGTAACATTTTTACCAACTTCATGGGGTACTCAGCAGATGTGCGTTGGGATGGATGTGAACAAAGCAGACAATATTGCCCTGATAAGATCAGAAAAATGAAATTATCACCATGCCACAGCTGCTCATTTCCCACCATTCTTATTTTCTTAATTTTTCTGTTATTTCTAAAATTATGTTAAAACTATATTCATACTTGATGGAGCCGGCATGACACCAGTTTTCATGCACTTGTTAACACCTAACATGTAAGTGTATTATCACCAATAATGGGAAGATCAGTTGAGTGTAACTTTATAACGGACTTGTTCCTATGCCCGTTTTGTTGCGCTTTAAGCTCAGTTATTCACTATTTGCCAAAAAGGCTTCAATTAAGCCAGAAAATTTCAAATAAAAACGGGTTGCCTAAATCTCGAAGGCCTCCGCAATTCGGAAGTACAAATATGTTCTAGGTCTGTTACGTATCACGGATCAGCACCTACATACAATGTATATATAAAATATGTATAATGAAAATATGCTAAATACCCCCACCAGAGGGCACATCATAGTGATTTTAAGAACCCCAGATTACATCATCATCACACAAAACGCATCGACAACCTACATATCACCCAGTTGAACACGGAAATACTACGCAGAATCACGTGTTGGCACAATACTAACTGATACGCAAATTTTAGCCGATACTACCGAAGTTTATGGTTAATTTCATTACAAATAGTTGGTGTCACGTCAATCGTTCTCTTACGGTTAATTCTTTCGTCTTCATATTTAAACATCTTCACAATAAAACATTACTTACAAAAATTTGTTAAAATCGCGTCTTCCCTCAACTCTCGCATACTACGAGCGTACTACGAGATTCAACACGAGCAAAACTGCTGCAATGACGTCTTCAGACAAGTCTCGCACACTCCGAGATTCAATAATTTGGGAATAGAATTGAATAGCAAAATTAAAGGTTTTGACTTGGTTATGTACCTATTTATCGACTTGCAAACTCTAAATGAAACGGCGAAACACGAGAAAATAAAAAAACTGAGGGAATAACTTTTCTATGCTTCACATGTTCATGTGCCGTTTACCTTTGTGGCACACTCTTGCATTACAAATGGAAAGGAACGAACGTGTAAAGTAACCAAATGTCAGTTGGAACTTGCGAATTGAATGCAATCTTTACTTGCACACCCCCAAAACAACTTCACTGCATAAAAATGCATAAATCTTCACATTTACTTTTCTTTTATCGGCATTAATCAACACACATCCACTGAGGAACAACCTATAAGCATTACTAAAGTCATCAACCTCATAATGGATACAGGCTAAGATGGGGGCATGAAGGTAAATTCTTGCACATCTGGGAATACTTATTACAATAACATCGTTAACAAAATGTCTGTAACAAGCAATAACCGTATGGCCCTCTTTATACCTAGAAAGTTTCTGATGCCTAATTTCTCTTGCACATCCTTTAAAGCAACTTCCTTTGGGGTAGTAGAGTGGCAGATATAAATTACCAGCTGCAGCTACTTACACTCCTATATTTGGACCAACTGGTGGAAATATGACAGATGTTCCAGGTCAACAAATACCAATTCAGCAAAGATTACATCTAATACAAATCTGCATATATGAACTTAATTTAGCTTATAAAGGTAGGATTTCAGAATTTCTGGATGATGAATATTCAGACTGTGGTCTCCTGGGTTACAACATTGTGCTGTTGTCTGGTACCAATCATTTGGAGGCATACATTCCTCCAGCTTCAGGGTACCCTGATTATTAAATTCATGGCATAGGAAAGGTTTAAAAAATTACGGATATATCAATGACAGAATTCTAGCTGCAAGGTTTAGCATAACTAGAGGGCATTCACCTGTTATACATATATATACCCCAGAAGAACGCAAACTTGAAGAAACGGGAGTATTTTAATGACATTACAAAAACAAATTCAGATATGTATTACAAACTAGTGTGTAATGACAGAATGAGAAGGAAAGCAGTTTATCCATAATATCACAAGAATGTTTGGGGAAGATCATTTAAATGGACAGCCACAAATTAAGAAAATCTGGAACAAACAAAAATCTTAACATTACTGATTTTGTTAGTTAAAATATATATATAACATACCTTAAGTAATAAAGTCACAAAAACCTTAATAGACTAGGTAGTTGTCAACAGAAATTGACATCCCAAATAAAAGCTGCTTTGTGCGTTTGAGGAAGCAGGCAATTTCCCCAAGTCTATTAAAATTTTATTACCAGGGGATGAAGTGTGGGTGGCCTCCATGGCCTGTTACAGGGATACCTTTACTTACTTACTTTTATTAAAAAGTTTACTTGTCTTTTATGGTTATTTTCATTTAAATAGTTTATGCTTATGTCTCTGCAGATTATCCATGTCTGGTACAATAGGCCAGACAGTGGCTGACATACCAAGAGTCTCACCCCATCCCCAAGAAATGAAAAATAAAATAACCCACGCTATCACTGCTCCTACAAGGTTTGAAACTAAATACGTGAACAACTAGAAATATATTAAACAGAAGACAAAATGAAGGGATGCAGAGTTCATGGTTAATGCATTTGTAAGGAATGAGCAAAATCAGAATGCCATTACACACCAAGAAGAAAAATGGGAACAGATTTCCTAGCCCTGAAATGATGAATAATGTGCAGGGTGGATACACAGTATGACACATTTAAGGTAAACAAACAAAACACTGAGTGGATCAAGTGGAAAGGCTCTTCTGACCCTAAGTTACTGCAACACGAGAGGGAGAAACTAATTCTGTTCAGTCCAAAATACTGAAGTTTCTGCATGGTGAACACAGCAATGGCATGAGGTTATGTCCGATCAAAAATCTGTGTTACATGAAATGGATACAATACTTAATTGTACCATTATTTCTTCCAGTGACTTGTCTTTGCAGTTGGGAACATTAATTTAAAAGAAACTGTTAATTTCACAGAACATCTTGTCAGCTTACTACCACTACTCTCACAAAATCTGCAATAAATGTTACTGTACTCTACACTTCTTTTATAATTTCCTAACTGGACAAGAAATTTCTTCCGGATTACTGAGTTCTTGGATTATGTCCATCACCTAACGTTCTAAAAAACACAATGTCTAAAAAACTGGATGTTTCCCTTTGCTTGTGAAAAGGTGGGAGGCACTTATTGCGTTCAATACATTAGGAAGAGCTATCTTCAATCACTGGACCTGTTTCTAACAGTCCTCACAGAGCAGGTGCTTCCCACAATTTCACCCGAGGGCTGAGATACCCAATTTCTGAAAGGTTCTTTTAAACATCAAATGGACAAATTTCCCAAAACACAGGAATGTCATAGATATTATACACCATCTTCACAACCTTGAAGAACTGAAGCAGTTTCTTCACAAGTTATAAAATTCTTCCACAATTTATAATTGTGTTCCTGTATTTTGCAACGCTGTCGGTAGCTGGGGTTGTATGTTGCCAAATGATTGACAGTACATAGTGAACTGGAAAGGATGTGAAAAGGAGCAACCGTGGCTCTGTTCTTGAGCACTATCAAGGCGTATAAATCGGGAACTTGGGAAAATTACGGAGAACCTCGGGATTGAATATTCTGGTGAAATTTCGAAACTGGCACCTCCAGAATAAAGTCAGATGCACTGCCGCTTCAGCTAACTTGTTCGGTTCCTTCCATATTGTTTCTAATCACAAGCAGATGCAAATTAATAAACATTTTAGGCTACTTCAAGAAACCCAGAAAAGACGCTGAAGGAAGAAAGAGAGAGATTTGAATTAAATCGTTTCTTACATACTTATCATTGAATATTTTCAGTGTATCAATCTGCCTCCTCCTATTCACAACGGTATTCTCAGTCTCTCTAAATATTCGTGATAACATTTAATTTTCCGACTTGTATACATAAACAATACCACACAAACAATTGCCTTCAACGTAAAACTGACATACAAACACGGAATATTCCGTCAGCTATTCCTACGTGTAACTTCAATGTTCACTACTGTATTACGGTAACCTAATTTACCACATACATACAACTGCGGAAGAAATATAGACTAGTACAACACACGAATTCACGGATTTCTGAAATGTAAACGAAATACATGTATCACTAGATGGCACTAGTAACTGCCCTCACTGTACGCTAGAGGGCAGAATGAGCTCTATTCAGAGACTTTCCTTATTTTAAAATTGGAGGGTGGAACACAGACGACATAGATGACATAAGACTTAGGACGTTTGGGAACAGGGTGCTGAAGAGAATATTTGGACCGAAGTGGGATGAAGTGACAGAAGGGTGGAAAAAACTGTACAATGAGGAACTTCATAACTTGTACTCTTCGCAAAGTAATTAAAATGATCACGTCAAGGATGAAATAAGCAGGGCATGTAGCGTGCATGGGGAGCAGAGGAATGCATGTAAGGTTTTGATGGGAAAGCCAGAAAGAAAGAGACCACTAATAAGACCAAGACATAAGTGGATAATATTAAAATGGATCGTAGAGAGGTATGATAAGGCTGTATGGACTGGATTGATCTCACTCAAGATAGGGACCAGTAGAGGGCTCTTGTGAACACAGTAATGAGCTTTCGGGTTTCATAAAATGTTTGGAAATTCTTGAGTAGCTGCACAACTGACGGCTTCTCAAGAAGAGCTCAGCCCCATGGAGTTAGTTAGTTAGTTAGAGAGTACTGTTTCGTTATTTCCTTATCACATCACGATTGTTTTTTTTTTTGCGGCTGCTTTTGTCGTTGTCATTGTGCAGTAAATATTAATGTGTCTTACTTTCAATTTCACAGAATTTTTTGCTCATTGTAGCAAACAGCGAGACTGTTACAATGGATAGTTATTCTGGTTAAGATACATCACAAGCTGGTGTTATGTGAAAGTGTAAAATGTTCGAATTAGGACTCCAGTTTGAACACAGGGAAAATTAAGAGCATCCCTGAACACTAGATATGACTTTAGAAAGATTTAAAAGTACTAAATCGTGAAGTATAAATTTATGATTAATTATTAAATGATTATAGGTGCACGCGTTAACGTAGTTGGCTAAGGCACTATGCTACAAGCCAGATGGTCGCGGGTTCGATTCCCAATGAGGTCACTGTATTTTTTCAATTTATCTAATCCTTTCAGCCGCAATATGGCCCTGGGGTCAACTCAGCCTCTAACAGAAATGAGTACCGGTAAAATTCCTGCGGCGTAAAGGCGCGTGAGGCTGACAACCTTACCGCCATCTGTGAGTCGATTGTCTAGAAAATGTGGAAGCCTCGACTTCTCACACCTCAATGGGCCTATATGGCCTGTTACAGGAACAACTTTACCATTTTACCTTTATTAACTGACTATGAAGTAAATGCTTATGCAGAAAAATACACTAAGTACTTACTTACTGCATGTTTCACCAAACATTCAAAGCGTTGATAAAACCACAGGAAATCAAATGTTATCGATGACAGATGATGTTGGAGGTGTGTGTCAACCAACTTATCTATGAACGTGCTTTCGTACTTCTCTTAGGTGGTCGTCGGCCATTGCAGCTCTAAGTTCTGGTTCATATATTCCCATTACATGAAATGTCTGCCAACAGATGTAGGTCTGTGATATAGGAAATAAAAACTTCGTTTGAGAGAGAGTATTTCATTTTGGAAATGTCGCACTTATTAAGGGAAGCATAAAATTTTAAAACTGTAACCAACTTGAATTGCTCAAAAAAATACTAAATCACTTCGCACATCATATAACTCGATTTTCTCAAAGGAGTGGCAACCAACCGGATATTAATTTGAAGTACTAGTGTGAAATCTTGGAATCGCCGATGGTAGTATCAGACACGAGGACCGACATTTGCTACGCTTTAACAAACATAATTTCAATTCTATCCAGTGTTTTAAACTTGCTTAGAATTGTGTAAAATTGATACGCGTGTTTTATGCAACATCTCAAAATGTCATCCTGAAATATATTAAATATAAAATAAAATATATATATATACGCCAAATGATTTCATCCCAACCCGCTCAGTTTCCTATACTTCCCTTACCTTTGGGCACTATTTCCCCATCCAGTATTTACTTGTACATAAACGCCAAACGTGACTAACATGGCGTTCCCAGGAGTGACGAGTTCCAGGTCTCTCAGTTCGAAGATGTTGAACGCTACATAATCTTACGAAGATTGATCTTGATTGCAGTTTGTTCACCAGATACGAGCAGACATAAAACCTTCCCTCACACTACCAGTAGCTGGTTTATTCCCAAAATGTATTATTATTATTATTATTATTATTATTATTATTATTATTATTATTATTTTAATCGATGTATACATTACGTATTACCTGTGTCTTCTCATGTCCTTAACATCGAAGACTCACGCGTTTCATAAGAAAAGCCTGTAGTTTTTCTTCTATGAATGGCCTTACTCATTTAGGCATACAGCAGACTACAGTGCTCTAATTTGGTCACAGCTTAATTAAATCTCGGTCGCCTGGAATAATCCTTTAACATCCATAATCGTACCTCATACCTTGAGCAGGCAAAGTAATGGAAGAAGCCCTTTGTGTTCAGCGTATCTCCAGTATGCTAACTTGGCTTCCATCGTACGTGAAAATAGACTCTACTAACTTCATAATAATGGTGTAACGATATCACCCACCACTTATACCGCCCCCTCAAAGATATTTAAGACACAATGGATATTTGCGGATTCCAATAACTTTAAAATAGCGCCCACAGGGCTACATAAATAAAATTCCGGTAAATTTATATTAAGAAAGCAGTCTTCTGGGATTTGGCGCCGTGTATATGTGGTGTTAACCGACGTTTCGGAGGAACGTATCGCCTCCATCTTCAGGGTAGAAGAAAAATATAAGAAATCTGCAAGCGAAATCTGCAGATTTCTTATATTTTTTCTTCTACCCTGAAGATGGAGGCGATACGTTCCTCCGAAACGTCGGTTAACACCACATATACACGGCGCCAAATCCCAGAAGACTGCTTTCTTCATAGTCACCGCCGTGAAAGCCTCAAATCTTACAAATTTATATTATATCTGAGTTTAGGTTTCTAACTTTCTTCTTCTTCTTCTTCTTCTTTCAACGATGATTGCGCCTGCAATAGCAAAGTGCGCAGCCTTGGATTGAAAGCGATTTCTGTTTCCTCTAGCATGACTGGAACTCGTAATGCGAGTAATTGCGCTGCTCTTGAGGAACTGGTGTTCACTTCAAC